TCTCTCTCTCTCTGCTAAGAATGCATTTTAAGTTCCTGATGCCTGTGGAGGCCAGAGGAGGGCTTTGGATCTCCTAGAACTAGGGTTATGGGTGGTTATAAACTGCCATGGGGGTGCTGGGAACTGAACTTGGGTCCTCTGCTAGAACAGCAAGTGCTCTAAACCACTGGGACAGCTCTCCAAGCTTAAAAAGTGTCCCTAAAATGCCAACCTTTTCATTATTATCTTAGATTTTAAATCTAAAAATAGATGTGATTTACTTGTTGGATAAGGTACACATCACCTAAAATGTAAAAGGTACACGGATATTTTCAGAGAAAACTTCTCTCCCATCTGCCTCCTTCTCCTCATTGCAGACAGCCAATGCTAAGTGCTGCTGGTGTCTCTGGTACGGTGGGCCTCTCTGAGGTGGCCCTGGCGACCCCACCTCTGATATTCATGCCCTGTGTGCTCCTTGCCCTTTGATGTGCCGCTTGGAAGTGCAGCTTCTAATAAGTGGAATATGAGAGTCACTCCTGGGAATAGGTCATCAAGAAAACTGCTTCTGCCGGGCGGTGGTGGCGCACGCCTTTAATCCCAGCACTCGGGAGGCAGAGTGCAGATCTCTGTGAGTTCGAGGCCATCCTGGTCTACAGAGTGAGTTCCAGGAAAGGCACAAAGCTACACAGAGAAACCCTGTCTCGAGGGAAAAAAGAAAGAAAGTAAAAGAAAACTGCTCCTCTCTTGGCTGCTACCCTTGCTCTGTCTTGTATCTCCCACCTTTGGGGAAGTCAGCTAAGACGCTGTGAGGTCATCCTGTAGCGAGACATTCAGAGGTCTGTGCTGGACAGCACCCTGTGAGGGAGCTTGGGAGCATCCTCCCTCCACTGGTTGAACCTTCAGATGGGACCACGTAAGGACCTGAGCTAAAGATGCCAGCAGACTCGTGCTTGGATTTCTGGTACATGTAAACGGAAAAATTATGTAAACCAGTAGGTTTCAGGGAGAGCTTTCCTCCCACAGTAGCAGATAGCTGACACAGGAAACAAATAGCAGTTGGGAGTTTGCTTTGTTTTTTTCCATTGTTTTAGTGACTATAGTGACATATTACATATCCACTTTTTTGGGGGGGGTGGGGGGAGTGTTTCGAGACAGGGTTTCTCCGTGTAGTGTTGGTGCCTGTCCTGAATCTCGCTCTGTAGACCAGGCTGGCCTCGAACTCAGAGATCCACCTGGCTCTGTCTCCCGAGTGCTGGGATTAAAGGTGTGTGCCACCCCACCCGGCCACATACCCGCATTTTATATCTATATTTCCACTGTACCTTGGAATTCT